TAGTAGTAGTACTAGTAATACTTCCAATAAAAATGATTATTCAGAGAGGTTAATTGCTGCGGTATTTGAAAGAGAAATTTTGTGGAATTCAAAACTGCCTTACAAACTTAGGGGACCATTACAGATAAAACTATTATGGACTGAGATAGATACATGATTGGGTAAGGTTTTATGAACATATATTATTGTGACTAATCATACAACACTGTGTAAAGTCCTAAAGCTATGTACTTTATTTTTTACTAATCATGTTTATTATATGAATGAAACTAGATTTAACTAATGTGAAGCAATTAAACTATAGAAGGAGGCAGGGCTAAGGGGGGGGACACAGTTGGGTATTCGTGCTTAGAATATGACTGGGTTTGTCTTGATGCTTTCAGCGCTGTAAGCATCATTTTATCTTTGTTGCACATCGAACATCAAACAAAGATAGAGCGATGCTTTCAGCGCTGAAAGCGTCAAGACAAACGCAGCCTTATAAATTAGTAACATGAAATACAGCAACAGTTTCGATCTTCAATATGTTTCATCTTTAGTGCTTAAGATGAAATTCAAGGTCAAAATATTTGTTATTTTTTATGTTACTAATTTAAAATATATATTCTAAGCACGAATACCTAACTTCGTTTGCTAGCTCTGTTTTCTTCTATTGTTTAGTTATGCAAACTTTGTTTATTATTACATATTGACAAAATTAAATTTTTTGAATTTATTTGTAACGAGAAACATATATGGATATCAGTTTTATATTCTTTGATTTGTAAAATAAAAATTGAATTAATATTTACTTGTTATTTTGTAAATTAATACTTAATTAATTTCTAAAGATATTTTTAGAGAATTATAATCTTGTAAAAAAGAGGGATTAATCGTTGCAGATTAAATTTATTCGTTTTTCTTAAAAAAGCTATAAATTAAATGTTATAATAAAAACTGCATGTAGGTACAACTCCTGGCACAAATCAAATAAAATGGAAAAGCCTAAGAGATCGGTTTGTCAAAGAACACACTATAGAATGTACTTACGTTCCGAGTGGCAGTGCAGCTGTAAAGAGAAGGAGCAGCTGGCTTCTTTACGAAAGTTTACGTTTTTTAGTGCCAACAATAAATTACAGAAAGTACATATAATAAATTTTATTAATAAGTGATATGTGTATACTTGTAAACACTGATTCAATGAATGATTCAAACACTTGTTTCAATAGTTACACAAGGTCTCAAGTTTTAATATCGATCTCACAATTCTTAAAAGTCTTTTGAAACTCATCAAAATAACAAGTGTTTTAATCGTTCTGTTCACGCGAGTGTACATGTATAAATATAATACATATATAGGGTTGCGTGAAAAGAATGGAATGACGTTTTATGAATTTAAATTTTAATCTTGTATTAAGAAGAACACATAATTCATATTGATCTATCATATAATCCCTCTGTTTTGCTATTCATTCCTATCTTTTCTCCAATTTCATAAAAATTTTTTCTATAAAAGTCAGCTTTTAAATATTTTTAAAAAAATCAATTTGGATTCGGTCACAAATTTTAATCTATTTCAGAACAACAAGTAATATTGAAAATATAAATCCTAATATGCTGCCATCATCCACCAAAAAAGCAGAGCATGTTATTTTATCAATTCTTAGTATAAGCAATATTAAAAAAGGGATGCAGTATAATCAAGAAAAAAATAAAAATACTTTATTAAAGTCGCAATTGCTCCCATCAAAACAAATTTGTAAGTAAACAAAAATTGCTTTTTTTCTAAGTTTTAATATATTTTTCTTATATATTCTCTTTTTATATAGATAGTAGACAGAATTCTACAAATTCTAATACAATAAGTGAATTAGTACATCAGTCCAAATGCAGTAGTAAGTACACATTTTTTATTAAGGCTCCTAGGTACTCGCCGCTTTTATCCTTGTTTGATGATTACATCAGAAGCGAAAAATGATACGTGAAGAATTTTGCGTGCCATTTCCAAGTAAAAAAATATTTGCATAAAATAACACTTAGATCACTTCATTACAAAATTATCACAAAATAATACTTTAGATTACTTCAGCATACTTCGAGAATTATCTCTTTCCCTTGACAGTTAATAAACAGGCGCAAAGTGAATGTAATACGAAGTCTAGTCATGCGCCTGCGTATAAACCTGCAAGGTTAAGTTAGTCGTATTACATTCATTTTACGGTTGTTTATTAACTGTCAAGGGAAAGGGATAGACCTCGGAGTATTTTCAAAGTGTACTGAATTAATCTCAACTGTTTTTTTATGCAAATTCTTTTTATTTGGAAATTGCACGCAAGAATTTTTAACGTGTCATTACAGAACAACAGAAGCGGTAAGCACCCAGGAACCTTAAAATTTTCTTTTTTTTTATCTATACTTAAATTTTTGAAGTAAAACTTCTTTAGGTAGTGAGTTACGGTAGTGAGTTCGATTCGCGACACGAAAAAGTGTAACGGAAGTGAAACTTCTTTGATACGGTAGTAAGTTCGATTGTGCGACACGAAAAGTGTAACGAAAATTTGACCAATAGGCGTACGGCGTTGGCGAGACGGTTCTTCTTCTGGCACGGTAGTAAGTTCGATTATGCGACACGAAAAGTGTAACGAAAATTCGACAATAGGCGTACAAAGTGAAACTCCCTTTGGATCGGTAAGTAAATTCGATTTTGCGACTCGAAAACGCGTCACGAAAATTCGATCAGGCGTACGGCACTGGCGAGACGGATATAGTGAGAACTGCGTATAACACTATATTTTCGAGTTGCGGGCGGCTTGGACCCAGTCAGAAATGATTCATCGAAATAATATCGATTCGACGTCGTTCATGTCGATTCGAAATTTGTGTCGAAATTTAGAATTTATCGAGCAACCAAAAAATTGCGTATAATAGACAGTTTATCGCGAGTTTTGTGTAATTTTTAATATTTTAGACATTATATAACATATGGTTTATATATAATTCAATATTCTTAAAGTTTATTATTTAGAGATCGAATCGACATCGTTTCGACGTCATTAATGTCGAGAAGTTGTTAAGCGTCGAAATGACGTCGAAACGATGTCGTTATAGTTTGCGCGTATATTTCGTGTGCAGGACACGCATTTATAATATTGCTCCGCGGTATAGCAACACGGTAGCCAATAAGCTTCTGGTTCCCGGAAAAATGATACGTTGGTTGGCTACCATAAGTACCGAGCCGCTTCTTTTGTCGCGCGACAAGCGTTTCCGCATCCTGTGTGCAGACTGCAGGAGCCATCAGCCATCACACGCCTTCCGTGTCTTGCCGCGCTTTTTCGTTTCACTCAACGAAACTGTATACAGAAATAAGGAAAGTGAATTTACTCATTCTGTCTAAAAGGTTTTATCTCATTTTGCTGTGCTTGAGTGTGTGACCATAAAGCGATTGCTGTGGATTGCTGTAACGATGGAAAAAAGTCCGGTAAATTTTTTAGGTTATTACTATTTTTAAGTTATAATTTTCTCAGTTGCGTGTAGTAGAGACATCAATTCTTATCTTTTAGTGTCTTTTACATGTTTTATCTGTTAGTACTTTAGTTATTTATAGTATTATCCGTTTTAGTATTTGTAACGGCTTCGAAGTATTATTAACTTTGTTTTTTATAATCTGTTATATGTCAGATTTATTCTAAACCTGTGAAGAGGAAACTGCATAGAAAAGCTATAAAAACTGCCATGAAAAAGCTTAAAGCAGATGAATTGCGATTGAGAATCAATAAAATTTATGTAGAATCTTCGGATAGTAATTCAGATTATGAGATATTATCCGATTCTGAAAAAATTGCAAATTTTGACGAAGGCTATCATGTTGCTACTGCTTCTGAAAATAATAATAATAGTGATACGATATCTTTACAAAATGACGAACAAGTTGCCGAAGAAATACATATTATGGCTGATATGCAGAGTGGGTTGAGCAGTGAGAGTAGCTCACAGTCTGACAGAAGTGAAGTCGAAGAGAATGTGATGGTTTTCAGGAACGTTGCTGAAATGGAACAATTTGTTATTGAATCAGTGCGAGAATGGGCTTCTGAATCAGGTGTCCTTTCCATGTTAAAAGTTGATAATTTGTTAAAGCGCCTCAGTGTTGGTCTTCCTAATATGCCTAAAAGTCACAAGACACTTTTGAAAAGTAATTTTAATCTGGAGATAAGTAATCTTGAAAGTGGAGGAAAAATGTGGTATAAAGAATTTACAGTTAATTTGGACCAGATGTTATTACAAGATTATTTGCGAACTCATGGAAAGATTATAATTGATATTAATATTGACGGTTTGCCGCTTTTCAACAGTTCTAAGCTTAAGTTTTGGTCAATTTTAGGACATCTTGTTGGGACTTTAATGAACCCTTTATTATTGCTGTATACTGTGGGAAAAGTGATCCTCAGAATATTGAGGAATATCTAGAAAAGTATGTTAGTGAATTAGAAGATTTATTTCATAATGGCTATGAGTATGAGGGTAACAATTATGAAGTTGTAATTAGAAATTATGTTCTAGATGCTCCTGCAAGGGCATTTATTAAATGTTGTAAAGGGCACTCAGGTTATGCAGGTTGTGAGAAATGCACTGTCATTGGAGAATACCATAATCACAGAATTACTTTCGTGGATCTTAATCAACCCCTCCGTACAGATGAGTCTTTCAGAAATCGCGAGCAACCTCAACACCATGAAGGAATCTCACCACTTGAAAGATTACGAACTGGGCTTGTGTCACAATTCCGTCTTGATGCAATGCATCTTTTATATATTGGTGTGTTTAAGAGGCTGCTTTATTTTTGGTTATTTGTTGTTGGAGTATGGAAACTTCATAGAGATATCATCAATCTTATATCTGAAGTCTTTGTGTTTCTTAAGGAATTCTGTCCCCATGATTTTAATCAAAAACCAAGATCTCTAAACGATTTTAAACTGTTCAAGGCCACTGAATTTCGTCGCATACTCTTGTATGACGGTATTGTTGCTTTCAAGGATTTGATTCATGATAAAATCTACAAACATTTTCTCCTTTTGCATAGTGCTGCCTATATTTTGGCTAGTTCTACTCTTGTTCATACTCATCTCCACCTTGCTGAGCAATTTATTAAAACTTTTATCTCTCATTCAGTAGTTCTTTATGGAACGAGTTTTGTAGTGCATAATGTACACTCACTCATTGTCAGTCACTTACCTAAGGAATGTCAGGAGCATGGAGCTATAGATAATTTTAGTGCCTTTCGCTATGAAAACCGTCTGAAGTCTATGAAAGATTCCCTGCGATCGGGTTATAAACCGTTGCAACAGATAGCTAGACGTAATTTAGAAAAAAAAAAATTGAAATTATTCTCGATTCTAAGCCTAATCAGTTTGTGCTCTCTTTAAAACACTTCATTGCAGATGAAATTATTCGTGGCCCACAATATCGTAAGGTAATGTGTATTTTAAAATAGGTAAAAAGGACTCCTGTTTTAAAACTGTCAATGGTAGTGTTGTTTTGCTAAAAAATCTTGTTTACAGACACCGAACTCTATTTTTTATTGGTTGCAAGTTTAAAAAACAGGAGGATTTTTATACGTATCCACTCCTTTTATCTGAACTAGGTATTATATGTGTTTCTCAACTCGAGGAAAGAAGAGTAGCATATCCTGTCAGTGATGTTCAGTGCAAGTGCTATTTGATTCCAAATAGAGATAATTTCTCGTGTATGCCATTACTTCACACAATTCCATTGATTTAAAGAAACTCCATATAGTATTATACAAGAAAAAATATGTAGATATCACATTTATAGAATATAATATGTTATATAGTTATATAAATACAGTGTATTTTTATTTCTACATTATACACTTTATACTTTTTATTTTCTGTTTCACAGTTTGTTGTGCTAAAATTTCTGCCCACAAATGAAGATCCAGATATATACATTGAGGTTGGTTTAAGAAAGTGGATCTGCACAGACCTTGACGATGAAATGTGTGGACAAACATATTGGCCCCCTAATCCAAAATCTGTCACACAACTGGTGAAAACTGAACAATCTTTTAAAACTGATTGGCCAAAACACGAAGTGGAAATTAAAAGATTTTATAGTAAAATTTTATTTTATTCTCCTATAAAAATTTTTATATACAGATTGTCACACATTATTATGAGATCGGAATATGTAGATATTTTTTTAAAACTTACATTTTTCCTTTATTCAGATACTTATCCACAAGCCCGCGAAGCTGTTTCTGGATTCCTCGCTGATTCAAATTATGAAACAGAGATAGAGCAAAATATGGGCCGAGGGAGAAGAAAGAAAAAGGCTCGGCAAATTGGGTCAGACAGTGATACTGATTCTAGTGGCCTTTCAAAAATAACGACAAAAATTATTCCTGCTCCCCCTGCTGTGCCTTTCAAAAAAGTTTCTTCTGATACTCAAAATTGGGATACTGATTCGGATGCCAGCATCTCGTCAAAATTGTTAAAAAGTTCCTCTATTATTAAGTTAAATAACAAAAAGCCTAAAGGAGGAAAAATAACTGTTCAAAGAAAAGAGCCATCTTCTAAGCATTCCGCGACGGAATTGAAGAAAGTAGTTCAAACAGCAAAAACAGTTGCAGCCTCTAAAATGAAAAGGCCGGAATCATTGGCTTCATTCAGCAAGACAAAAAGTCCCTTAAAATCTTCAACCTCTTGCAATTCATTACTTACAAATAGCCCTGTTAACTGTGACGAAAGTGCTGTTCAGGAAGGGATGACTCTTTCTTCGAACGTACAATCATTGACGCAAGTACCTGACCGTGTATTCAGTAAGGATGATTCAACTTTAACGAAGGATCTTACATCAACTGATCATCAACCAACATCAACTTTTAACACTGATTCTGTGGACACCGCGCAATGCAGCAGCAATTCTTCTAATTGTAATGATAAACCAAAATTATCTAATTCAAGCGCTTCCCATCGACGTATGTACATTGTTTAAAGAACAGTTGCATGATAAGAATACAGGTAACATTTTGTTGCAATACTAGTGTAAAATAAATGTTTGCTTTCTGTGCCTGTATACTATAATTTTTTTGTATTTGTTGCAGAGAAAACATTAAACACCGAAATGACAGTTAAAAGGACACTAGTTACAGTAGAAGAAATTTCTAAAAAGTTAGACATTCTCAATATGAACGTGAGCAAGCTTATGAGAGCTATAATACCCTCAGAAAAGAGAATTTCGCGTCCTGAGAGAATGCCAGCATTACCTTTGCACACAAAACAACATTTAAAAGAATTTGAGACTTTTTTACAGGCGGATCATAATTTGGCTGCTGCTGTAAGCATAATTCATTTCTTTACGTACTTGAAAAAGTTTTCTTCTACGTGTTTACTAATGTTTCATTATTTGTTGTTTGCAGTGTCACTACATGTCTAATCACATGAAGCTGAGCGCGAAGAATCCCGAAAGAAAAAGTGCAACAAACATGCTAACAAAATTACTCTCTAACACACTAGCAGGTGAAATAAATTGTGACGGAGGTAACGGGAAAATAGCTTTCAAAACTCTCAAACTATACAATTTGTTTCAAGGTAATTATTTACTAATACATTAAGTTTATTATTATTATTTGTATGTAAAAAATGCAAGATGTTTTGTGTTATATGTACATGTGTCTTGTTTCAGGAGCTCTTCAAATAGCATTTCCGGATAGTGATCTCACTGAAGCAGATGCAGCCTTGGCTGGGTGGTTAAAAGATGCAAAATGGCGTAAGCAGCGTGACGGCAGCTTGGGAAATAGAAATAAGGACTCGCAGAAGAACAAGTAGTTTCTTTCATGAATAATAAATTAAAAGAGCTTTAAGTTTAGTTATTATGAGTAATATAAACTCCTCTCGAGAAACTATTTTGTAGAGATTGAACAGTATGGGATTATATGTACTTAATTATTACTTACCAAATAATAGGACTTTTGATGAGAATCTACTTTGATAGATTATTTTGTTTTACAAAGAAAGTCATTTATGATTATTGTGTTATTTTGGTGTTTAGAAAAAATACTGCTAGCTGTATTGGGTCATATTTTTTTTTTAATTTCACGTTCATATATAGTCTGAGTTAGGTATACTCCATC